TACCAGTTAATGGTTTAGTCCATTTTATTAAACCAATATAAACTAAGTGATTATAGAAGTAATCATTGTGGTCACCATTTTATTATAAGAAATAAGGGTTTTCCTAAAGAAGCTTTTCATCAAACATAAAGGAACTATTACAGTCAACTCCGTGAGTACCAAGGGAATACACCGGGGTTATATACAATAAGGATCTAACAACCAATGGGATGTGTGTCATCTGCCTCAATTCCTGTTCCTTGTCTGGTTGTGGACTTAGGGCAGATACACACAATCGATTGTTTGTTTACTCTGAGTTTTATATAACTCGTATTCATTTAGTACACATAGAAAGGATTGTAGAGTCATTTTTACTCATCTTTAATCAAGGCAGGAAATATAGGATTTCCTGGAGGAACAGGCGAGCTTTTCTAAAAACAGAACTTACAACTTACTACATTTTAACAGCAGTTTACCACAACATATTACAACTTACTACATCTTACTAAACTTTCTACAACTAATTACATCACTAAAATCTTATGAACTCGCCAGCTTAATTGCTGATCAACTCTTTCAAATAACTTGTATTCTCAGGAGCCTAGTAGACAGGTACTCGTGTTGGGATTCAGAAGATGGAGCAGTATGGCTTCATGCCTTGTTTGTTATTTGCTTATATATTCTATGTTTTGTGAATACACCCTTTGTAAACACTTTCCTTCTAATGAAATGGTTGTTTATTACTTCGATTACTATGATGCATGTCTTGTGATACTAAACATGACGTCCTCCATCCCAGACCGTTTCCTCCGTTCCGGTTTTGGGGTGTGACAGATTGGTATCAGAGCATTGTTTACTTATTCATACCGGCCTAACTGTAGCTAACAGTTGTCACCCCAAGCCTACCGGCCTAACTGTAGCTAACAGTTAAGGTGCGGGATTTTCAGTCCCATATAGATCTATACACAAGTGTCACGCTCTCCGTCCATGAGACTCTGGTTATAATTTCAGGACTTGGTTGGTACTTAGATAAGTACGTGAAGTGTGTCTCACAAATGCTATATTGACGGTTATGTGCAGAATAATGAAAAGTCCTTTTTATGATAAATAACAGTATGTATATTCCATAAACTATATCTATTATAGTTTATATCTTTGTTTTCTGTAATTTATTCTAAACTTGGTAATAAAGTGCATATGATCCATAAACTATACCTATTATAGTTTATATGTTTGTTTTCCGTATTGTATCTCAACTGTGTTAAATGATATGTAAGTTCCATAAACTACACATATTATAGTTTATATGTATGTGTTCTACTTAAATGAAAACATGTGTATTGTTAATGATTTGGCAAGTTTAAATCGTAAAATCTGTGATAAAGTTGTTCCATGAAATTTAACATTTGTGTCCAAATGGTACTAAAATAGATTGCAAAAATAATATTTTTGTTTAACAAGTTTAAATGGTTTTATACTTATATAAATATAATATTTACATAATTATGATTAAAAAGGCGGTTGAATAAATAATTTTACCCTAAGCCCACAACCAAACAAGGAACAGGAAATAGAGCAAAATTATCAATTCTATGCCTATTGAACCCTATATATATATATATATATATATATATATATATATATATATATATATATATATATATATATATATATATATATATATGTGTGTGTTTTTAATAACGACAACGATTGACAAAATATTGAAATCATTTAGATATTAACACAAAATTTCTTGTGTTACACTTGTATCCCCCCCTAAAACAGTGAAAAATCGTGAAAACGTAGGGGTATGAACTCACCTTGAGTGCGTGTTCTTGGTTAGGTACGGTGTGGTTGCGATAATCTTTGGATTAGAATACGTATAATTCCTGAATTCCTAATAATATATAAACACATAATATTGTGTTCATATTAGTAAATGAATATTAAAGTATTGTATATAAGTCACTAGATTAATGAAGGATGCTTACTGCGAATCCTTCAGAAAACTTTGAAGAACTGCTTTATGGGATGAGTTTGAAGATGTTCTTTGAATTGAAAGGAAAAATGAGTTTGATACTTGAGAGAGAATGGGGAAAGTTTTCGTTTACTGGGAGTGAAAAGTGAAGACTGATCTCTATGTAGTATCTTAAATAAGAAGGAAACTTATGAGGCGGTGATGTGAGGTTACGGTGGTAATTGAATTATATCACATTGGGAAGCTGAATTAAGATAAGATATTTAGATATTTGAGGATGTTTTACTGCCTATTTGAAGGTGTTTGCGGCCAAAAGGAAGTGTTTACTGCCAAGTATGACCGAAATCTCACATATGTACTCACAAAAGAGAGATTTCGGTCCTAATGGACTATAAGGATGGGATTTCAGTCCAATAAGTTTGGGTTTACGGTCTTAATGGACTTTAGGCATCTTGTTTTCGGTCCTATGTGAGCCCATGAAGGAGTTTTCGGTCCTATGTGACCGCAAACTCAAGGGTACATAGCCTAAAGTTGATTTCACTAAAACAAGGTAATTCATTTGACTTTTGTTGACCCATTTTACTCCTTAATGTTTTGTTAAAGTTGGGGGAACTCGCTAAGCTTCGGGCTTACAGTTGTTGATTATGTTTCAGGTACTTCTGATGATCGCGGGAAGGCGAAGGCGTGATCGTGCACCTCCTTATATTTCTATGATTTGATTCTGGGGATACTCTGATGTTTAAACTATTTTGAAAACAAATTTGTAATAATTATCGGTTTTAAATGTTTTTAAAAAGTTTTAAATTGGCATGATTTTTTTGAGGGTGTTACAAGTTAGAGAGAAATTTTATGGGTATCAATTCGAGATTGATGGGAGCATCTTCCTTATAGATCTCAAACTGATCATTACCAGAGATTTTGATTTCATTTTGAGTATAGACTGGTTGGCTGCAAATAGTTCTAAGATAATATGTAATAAGAAAATTGAGGCACCCGACGTTTCTCAAATTATCGTACGGGGTGAACGACGTTGTGAATCGATCCTCATGATTTCTATGGAAAAGGTGTGAAATGATCATAATAAAGTGGTTGATATATGTCACATATATAGCGCAAATCAAAATAAGAAAGCTAACTATTGATGACGTGGAGATTTAGGAGCAAGGAATCGGTTACTAGGGTTTGATATCTAGCTCCCTATTTATAGTTATCTAGTAACTTGGCTACTCCTTTTTGCTGAGATCGCTCATGGATTGTTCCAATTAATTAAACATTTTAATTAATTAACATCCGGTCCCTGCAATTAGTTAAATTCTAATTAATTCCAAATTAGTTTCTAATTAATTTATCATACAAATTAATAAACTAATTTATCCCGATTTCCTTTTGTCATTTAATTGCTCGGGTCCTAAGGGTAACCCACAGGACCTGTTATTATTAGAAATAAACAAATCTGCAAAAATGGTCCCTGTGGTCGGCTGAAAATTACTACTTTGGTCCAAAAATGTTTGGACTAGCATTAGAGGTATAAACTTTTTATTTTGTTGCAAGTTTGGTCTGATTTGTTTTGAATTTTTTTGAAATGATAGTTTTCCTTTCATACTTTCATTTTCTATTTTTCTATATTTCAATAACTAAAAAAAGAAAAATAATCTTGTTACCTCTTCCTTGTATCTCTCTCTACATTAAACACACTCAAATACTCAAAATATAAACAGTATCACCGCCAGAAAAATATAAAGACCACCACCGCCGGAAAATATAAACACCATCGCCGTCGGGAAATATAAACACCATCACCACTACCTCCTGAAAACCTATGATCTAAAAACCCTCGTTTTTTGGCGCCGACTTTGCTGGTGCCACCCATTTTGCTGCCTCCTTTGCAGATCTGTTGAGATATGAATGCCACTACATGTCAAAACCAGCACCACCTCCCTTGGATTCCCTAATAGATTCCCACTACCGGAGAAGACAAATCCAAATCTTAAGAACTTTTTAGATCCGAGATTTTATCGGATCTGTTTTCAAGTCCGAGGTTTACAAGACCGACGACACTAGTTTTGGGATAAATTAGTTTATTAATTTGTATGATAAATTAATTGCTCAATAGTTATGAGGTTGGATACTATTTCGACATGAATAGTAAGAAGTTGGAATTCTAGTCTTTCAAAGTGAAGTGAAATGAGTACTAATAATTAAAATCATATAATTTCTATTTCAACTAATTAGTAAGTTATCGTGTGTAAATGTTCCAGGCTGCTAAAAGTTGCTTTGACTTTCAATACATGTTTTTACATATGAATGAGTTGGGTAGTGTTGGGGTATATATCATCAACACCAAAAAAATTGTGTTACAGACTTGCCTAAAATCTTTGGCAACCCTCTTGAATTTGAGTTTTATTGTACGGAGCTTGGTGGAAGGTAAAAGTATTATGGCAATGTATGAGACTAGAAGAAGGATGAAAAAACAACCGCCAAATTTAACCTGGAGTCGATGGCCAAAGTAAATTTAAAAAAGAGACCATTTTTTTAGTAATTTAATTTTAAAGTTAAATTGTTTTAACAGTTTGTCTTGAAATTAAGTCGGGGTAACTAATTCCACATCTCTTACTAAAAAAATCAACCGATTGCCACCCAGCACCAACTGATACCTGTATGAGTACCCATTATATTGTTTAAAGTTCTATTGGTGTTTGTATCTCAGTCTTCATCTATTTGACGAAAATTATAGAAAACAATTTATTGTATATAAACTAATTTACCAATGTTATTTTTGCTAGTTTTTACATTTATTGGAAATCCAAGAGATGGGAAAACTTGTTGATAAATTTCACCTGAAGAGTATTCAGCGACAGATTTGCCCATGACTAATACTTGATTTTACAGAAATGTAGCTTCTAAAAGGATAGCAATCTTCACTGACTTATTTGTTTCTCTACTACATAATGATTCAAGAAAACATATGAGAAGTTTAATAACAAAAAAAACATTTAAATATATTCAACAGGATGAATATAGGGAACATGACAAAAGCAAATAATTAACATTTCATCAACAGATTTGAAACTTGGTGCATTGTTGGCCTTTCTTGTAGATTCGAGTTCAAACATGATCTTGAGAGATTGAGTACTAAATTAACTTGTTTCTCAACTTGTGGTGAAGGAAGTGGAATACGACTATCTCCAACATTTGCTAACACCAGATAATCAGTAGACAATGTTGGTAGTTCACCAGGATGCTTTCCCATGATCACTTCAAGTGAAACGATGCCAAAGCTATACACATCATATTTCTCGGTTGCCACCATCGTATAAGCAAGCTCTACATACAAAAAAACATCAGATAAAAACAAAAAAAGCTATATCAACCCCACAAGATTATAACATAGATACATATAAGTACAAATACTTATTCATATATAACATGAAACTTAAGAAAATGTAGAGCTAACATCACAAAATGATATTACCTGGTGCGATATAACCATAGGTGCCTGCAATTGCGGTCCAATTGGATGAGTCTAGCTTTAAAAGCTTGGACGTGCCAAAATCAGAAATATGTGCCTCATAATCAGAATCAAGAAGGATGTTGGCTATGGATATGTCTCTATGAATTATAGGAGGTGAGCAATCGTGATGCATATAAGCCAAACCATTAGCTACACCCTTTACAATATTGACCCTTTTCATCCAATCCAATTCTTTTGCTAAGATATCGCTTCTTAAGATTGATCCAAGGCTTCCCTTTTCAAGGTATTCGTAAATCAAAAATGAGTGGCGGGCATGGGAGCAATATCCATAGAGTTTCACTATGTTTCGATGCCTTATGTTCGTTAATGCACGTATCTCATTAAGGAATCCATTATGATCAACATTCTCAGATGATGAGTGAAGTTTCTTGACAGCTACCACATTGTTAGGTTGTAGCTCGGCTTTGTAAACAATTCCATATCCTCCGGTCCCAATACAATATGCTTCATTAAAATCGTTTGTTGCTTTCATGATATCATCATACGCTACTTTTCCGTCAAAACTTGTAATGGAGAAATAATCACCACTTTCTTCTTCCAATGGTTTATGTGGAGACTTTTTCTTTTGTTTTAGATAAGCAATGAAGCCACACATGAATAAACCAAGTAATATTGCACAACTAAGAGGCAATATAATTACAAGGATGAGCTTATGCTGAAAGGGATGTTTCTTCTTCTTAATAATTTGACTTGCACAAACTTTTATTCCTGTAACATTTCCACACAAACCTGGATTTCCTATTATGGACGCATTCAAGAAGTTGGTACAAGGGGGAACTCGACCTGTGAGTTCATTGTAGGATAGATTGATATCAATCCCGCTAGGTAAGCTTGTAAAAGCATTAGGAATAGACCCACAAAGTCTGTTGTGAGACATATCCATATTCTGCAAATTTTTCAAACTTTGAACTTCAGATGGTATCTCCCCCGTGAGCAAATTATGAGATAAATCAAGTTCTATAAGTTGACCTAATTTACCAATCTCAGATGGAATTTTTCCACTGATCTTGTTATTACTAAGATTTAGTTCATAAATGTGCGACCACTGACCAATACTACTTGGTATAAACCCATTCAATCTATTTGTGGATAGATCGAGTTCAAGTAGTTCATTGAAAGATCCGAGCTCCGGAGGTATATTACCTGAAAGTTGGTTATCACACAAGTACAAATACAACATACTTTTCATCTTCCCAAACTCCTTTGGGATCTCACCAACCAAATGATTTGAAAACAGAGCAAGCCTTTGTAGTTGAGTTGAATTTCCAAACTCCGGAGGAATAGTACCACTAAGGTGATTGTTGCCCACCTCAAGAATAGTGAGAGACTTCAATTTTCCAACCTCATTTGGAATGAAACCTGATAACATATTCTCATGGAGGTGCAAACTCTGTAGATTGCTCAGGTTTGCTAGTGATGAAGGAATAGAACCACTAAGTTGATTCGACGCCACAGCAAGAGCAGAGACATAATTCAAATTCCCAAGTTCAGTAGGAATGGGACCAGATAATATATTATCATAGAGGTACAAAATATGTACATTGCTCAGGTTTCCTAGTGAGGAAGGAATAGAACCACCAAGTTGATTGTTGCCCATCTGAAGATGAGTGAGAGACTTCAAATTCCCGAGTTCATAAGGAATGGGCCCAGATAAATTGTTGCCATGGAGGTGCAGACTCTGTAGGTTGCTCAGGTTTCCTAGTGATGAAGGAATAGAACCACTAATTTGGTTGTTGTACACCTCAAGATGAGTGAGAGACTTCAAATTCCTAAGTGCAGTAGGAATGGGGCCGGATAATTTATTCTCATCGAGGTACAGAGTCTGTAGGTTGCTCAGGTTTCCTAGTGATGAAGGAATAGAACCACTAATTTGATTGTGGCTCAACTGTAGATCAATGAGAGAAATCAAATTCCCAAGTTGGATAAAAATGGGACCAGATAATTTGTTCTGACTTAGGCACAATATCTGTAGGTTACTCAGGTTTGTTAGAGATAAAGGAATAGAACCACTAAGTTTATTGTAGCTCATCTGAAGGTCAATGAGAGACTTCAAATTCCCAAGTTCAATAGGAATGGGTCCAGATAATTTATTCTTACTTAGGTACAAAAGCTGTAGGTTACTCAGGTTTGCTAGAGATGAGGGAATACAACCACTAAGTTTATTGTAGCTTATGGAAAGTTCAGTGAGAGACTTCAAGTTCTTAAGTTCAATAGGAATGAGACCAGATAGTTGATTTTGATAAAGATAAAGGAAATTCAAAGATGTCATATTACCCAATGACGAAGGAATTGAACCACTAAGTTGATTGGTGTTCAACGCAAGATCAGTGAGATGCTTCAAATTCTCAAGTTCAATAGGAATGGGACCAGAGAGTTGATTTTGGTCCAAATAAAGAACTTTCAAAGATATCAAATCACTCAATGATGAAGGAATTGAGCCGGATATATTGTTTGAGTCTAGGTAAAAGATGGTTAGGTGATGCAAGTTACCTATTTCAGATGGGATTACTCCAGAAAACTTATTCTCTGAAAAATCAAGGTACACAAGTTTGGACAGGAGTCTGATTTCTGGTGGAATGGGGCCAAAGAAGTTGTTCATACCAAGATCAAAATACGTAAGATTGTGTAGCAAAGAGAATGGAAATTGGTGGAGTGTACCTTTTAAGCCAGATGAACAGAGGTTCAGCCTATGAATGCTCCAATCAATATTGCAAACTACACCAAACCAAGAAGTGCATGGAACTGATGCACTTGATTTCATAGGGAGAGGAAGCCATGAAGAGAGCAAGGAGTTGTTTGGGATTTCGAGGCTCTCTTTCCATTTGAGAAGAGCATTGGCTTCCTCCAAAGAAGCATAAGCAATATTTGGTTTGAGGAAGAGTGGAATGATTAGTAGAGCTAGAGAGAAGAGTAACAAGTTTGAAGACGACATTATTTTGCTTAATTTGCTGTGTTGTGTTTTGAAAAATGATGGTTTGTGTGTGTACTAATTTATACTTGAGCTACCAATTTCCCTTATTTTTCGTTTTGCCTTATTGGAAAAGGAAAATTTGAGCAATGTCATATGTTTCGACATGAAGTCATGAAGTGTCTTCTTCTAGAAGTCACTGACTCACTGTCATTTTTTCCCACAAGAAGTGTATTTTACTTTGAGTGGTATTTCTCATAGAAATTTTAGAAAATGACTGAAAGTTAATAAAGAAATTAAAAGGTCACTTCGCAAAAAGACAATGATATCATATGTCGACCATGGAAGTAGAAGTGAAATTGTGTGTAGTTGATTCCGAAATCAAACTAGTCTAGATTCTATTATTATTTCCAATTACAGACCAGATTAATATAAAGAAAAAAAAAACAGAATTTAACTTCATAAATCGAAAACTTACGACTGAAAAAATTACATTGAAAAAATCTTAATCAAAAGACGGAACAGGGACAAAAGGGCTTAGTGTGTGTTTTATACTTATGCAATCAATGCTTTTTAGTGGATAACTATGTGTAATGGGTCAGTGGTATGTTTTTTAGTGGACGATTATGTTAATGGGTCAATGGTAATGGTATTCCTTGAACGTGCGAATGGGAGGAAAAAAGATGATTTAGCATAACATATAATATCATTTTTTTATTATGAATATCTAAACTGTCTTATACTAACTAAAAATGAAGATAATTAAATAAAAGGTGAAAAACCAACTACTTTATTATACATATACATAATTATTTTTTGGGAAATTGAGTAATTTAACCACATTTTAGTTGATTATTAATAAAAACTAATGTAGGTGCTCATGCTTTGTATGCGTCCGAATGGTTTTTGTTTTTTTTTTTTAATTATGTGTGTGTGGGTAAGATACTAGCCATTAGGAGGCCTTTAATTGTTGTTTTATGTTTAGAGATACATGGGTTTTAGAACATTATATATTTCATTAGTTTGTAGAAATGGAGTATGTTAACCAAAGAAATGGCAACATACTTTCATATTTTCATTTATTATGGCACCGTACTTTCATTAAGCAATGACATTAGATACCCAATTGAAAGATAAACAAAGTACAAGTTTTGGTTATCAAAATTACAACTCAACTCTTGCACATTTACAACATATGCAACAAAATAACAATTTCTTCAATTTCCATATTTTTATCTAGGAAACAACTCACATTTTCACAACTCCATTTACATAATTCTCGTATTCCATATATACATCTTCTGATTTTTTAGCTCTGAAATTAATTTGTTCCTAAACACACCACCATTAACTTGTTTCATGTGCTTTTGCTCGGGTATTTGGATTTCAAGAATGTGAAACATCAATAAAGATGAAACAGAAATAAAAAATTGAGATCGAAAACCCTATTTTTCAAAAAAATAGAAATAAAATTAAAACTTTCACCTCAGACTTTGATTGCAAGATGTGCATTATGTTGAAAGTTTTAGCTATAAGCATGTCTTCAGCTATTACCCATAGTCCATTTGACCAATTCCAAAAGCAGCCACTATTAATGACGTTTATTTTTGAAAAAAAAAAAATAGAATGCTTTAACTCAACCGATTTAACTCAACCGATTTAACAGGCCCATGTTCTAAACTATATCTGTTATTAGTCCTCTCTGGAATTGTCCAAATCCCACCTGTAGAATCTCTAGACCTAAATATTAAGCAATTAAAAAAATCAGCTAATTTCTGCCATTTTTTGTTAGAAGTTTTATATAAAAACTCACCCTGATGCAAGATGTGAATCAGATGGATGCCAAGAACAATCTAGAACTGCATCAGTGTGTCCTTTCAATGTCAAAATCTCTGATTTAAGAATCCTCACACGAGTTTGAGGGGTGGAAGAGGTAAAAATATCCATTGGTGTTGTTCCTACAAAGTGACCTTAGAAGTATTAGATATTACATATATGCCACTAATATTGTCAAGTGAAAAGTTGATATACGGTTTTAATGGTTGTAATTTGTTCAAACTGAAATGAGATATTCAAGAAACTTACCCTTATGCAGGTTTTGTATATTTTCTTCATCATCATCATCATCATCTATGATCAATTTTCTGAGTTTCCTTTTGCTTGGCTTATCCTTAACATCTTTCTCCTTCTCCTCACTTTCTTTCTCTTTACTTTCTTTCTCCTTTTGTTTAGCTTTCTTTCTCTCTTGTAAAATTTGCCTTAGTTGAAGTAGAGCCTCCTCTCCTTCATTACTCTATTAAAATTATCAACTGGAAATAGAAACGAAAAATTTACTATTACCACTTAATAAAAAAATCAGATATACACACACACACATATGTAAACACCCAAAACCATTCATACACACTGAAAAACAGAGAGATGCATACACTGACATATCCATTCATAGCAAAACACAAACTCAGAATCTCAACTTCATTTTACAGCATTCGTTGAATACGACATTTCATCGAACACCTGGCATACAAAACGAAATTTACATATAGCTAAGATTATGTATTCTGCTAAGATCATGCACAAATCCTTGCAAGTTACAGTTAGAAAGAAGAACCATGTGAAATTTTAGTAAGCTGAAAGGAAAATAGAACTTAAAGAAAAAAGAAAAAGCATTCTCACAAACATCTGTTAGGCGCCAGTATTTCATGAAGTTACAAAGTCAAACAGAATTTGAAACGCAAACTGAAATAAGAAGCAAAAGACATTGGATCGTTTGTGCATGGAAAGAGAGAAATTTTACCAAGAATCGAGGTAGCGGAAGGAGGAATCGATTGTGTCTGGATTCCTTTTCGAACAATTTTTACTTTTAACTTTTTCATTAGGACCGGTTATAACACCCGATTCATATTTCATCTCAACGACCGAAATGATATTCTCAATGTTACAACATGTTAAAATATTTGAAGGGCGTTTGGATAAATAGTTTTTAGCTTATTAGCTTTTTTTTTTTTTTTTTTTTGGAAAAGAGGGCAACGCCTCCAGCAAATGCATTAAAAAGGAAATATAGAACAAATACAAAACAAGCTAGACGGAGAGACCGACTAGCGAAGAGTTAGTCCAGTTGTTGGACCCCAAACCGCGACATAAGTAAGAAAATTACAAAGAAAAATACTGATACTCATAAAGCCCACAAGCCATAAGATTAGACCGTCGGGAATAAACCACGACCCCTCAACCAAATTAAGTACCATGACCATTTTCATTGATTGGCGGCCAATTGCTAGGCCTAGGAATTTTCCATCTTTTGTACACCTCTTCCATAGGAGTCGACCATTTGAAAGGAAGACCACAAAACCGAGTTTTCAGAGAGTTGAGAACTTGATTCACCAGTTTTGCTTGGGAAGCAGTGCTTCCATTGTGATGGCGAGAGTTCCTTTCTCTCTAAATGAAATAGATCGTGGCAGCCAAAGCAAGTTTCTCAATTTCTGTTTGTATGTGATTGCTTTGAAAGCGGGGAATTTGGTACTCGATTATTTGTTTCAACCTGAAATCCGGGAATTGGATATTACACATATCACACACTTTAGTCCAAACCTCATGCGAATACTGACATTCAAAGAATAAGTGGGTCGTCGAGTCAGGCACCATCTTACAAAACATACACTTGAGGTTCGCCGAGTTTTGCCATATTTGCATTCGTTCCTGTGTCATCAATCTATCATGAATGGCAAGCCAAAGAATGAAAGCATGGCTTGGAATGTTGAGCTTAAACCAAACCACCTTATACCAAGGAACGACCGGGCTAGCTATCCTGATATCCTTCCACACTTGAGTAGAGGAAAACTCAACACTCTTTCCCTCCAAGTCCCGCCAATAAACCCCATCATCTTTATTTATTTCGAGATTAGGAAGACCCTGGAGTTGGATATTAGGGAACCGAACTCCCCATTCCCAAGGCCACCCCGAGCTATGATTACTACAAAACTGGTGCACCGTGAGGTCGTTGGGCAGCCCATGAAGATTCCTTTCATCTTCCGTTATGATATTGATCAATGGGCCATCTGCATGCCAATTGCCATACCATAGATTTATGCTCGTTCCATCCCCGGGTACTCTCCATAAATGTTTCCATATTTTGTCTCGCAAAGAGAGCATATTAGACCACGAACAGCCTTCAAGATCCTTGCTTTTAACCTCCCAAAAGGTTTGTTTTCTAAGATGATGGATTTTAACCCAATCAACCCATAGAGAGTTTGTTGCAGTAAAAAGTCTCCAAATTTGACGGGAAAGAAGAGCTTCATTCCAAGTCTGTAAGTTACGTATTCCCAATCCTCCTTCTTCTTTAGGTCGACACACCATTTTCCACGCAATCTTAGCGCATCCTTTCTTTAAGTCGCCACCATTCCATAAGAAACCCTTAAAGACTTTTTCTAAGTCTTTGATAGTTGTTTTGGGAAGGAGAAGAACCGAGCACCAGTAAACCTGCAGGGATTGGAGCACATAATTTATGAGTTGAAGTCTACCAGCAAATGACAGAGCTCTTGCTCGGGATGCAGCCAGCTGTTGCTGCAGAGCCTCATTGGCTCTCCTAGTCCTTCCCATAGCCTCTTCGAGTTGGCAAATTCGGACCGTGTTAATGCCAGAGTTGGCATCAATCTCCATGACCCTGTCGATGGCTGCCCGGCCTTGATCGACATTCCGAGCAATCCTACGGACCATGATGGACAGGACTCAGTCATCGGAGCCTCCCTCGCTTATGTTGTAAAAGCTTCGGTCTCCGTTGAAGGGTAAAGGCTGACCCTGTTCGTCACTCCAGCGGTTCAAGTTTGTTGCCCACAAAGGAGTGGGGCCTTGAAATGCTGGTCGGGGGTTGAGGTTTGGTACTGGAGCCTCTTGGGGCAGGTTGTTGACCTCTGGTTTGGAGTCAGATCCATCCGAAAAACCTTCTACGAGGTGATCATCCAAAGGGATTGGATGGTCATCTTCTGGCTCTTCTTCAAGCCATCCAGCATTGCCTGGGTTTGGGA